GGGCGCAGGTGCGGTGGGCGAGTCGGAGAGGAGACCACCGACTCAGCGCTGCAATCCAGAAGCGGCTACCTGCCCAGGGCGTCCTGAGTAAGCTGTGCGAGCAGCACTCGGTGCTCAGTTTCTCCAGCTGGAAGCATGTGGTGCTGTACCCTCTAGAGCCCTGGCACAGAGCTACACAAGCCAGCGGCGGGGAAGCTCCCAGCACACTGCAGATGCCACGGAGAGCCAGCTCAGTGGGTGCTCAGCAGGCCGGGCGCTCGGGGCAGGCGCCTACACAGGAGCAGTAGCAAGTCGTTTAAACTTGAAAATGAGGATATGCTACACCAGGTTTCTGTCTTCCTGACATGCGTTACCACAATCCTTGGTGCCACGGCTTCACGAGCCCCAATTTATCCGAAGCCATCCTCCACGCTTTCCTGACTTTTCTTTCAGTTATTCCCTCCTGAGCAGCTCCACTTCGCATGATTTCGTGGCACAACCACAAAACCCAGTGGCCTGGCTTGTGTCCCTTGGAGTCATGCTAAGATTCTGCCAACAGGGGGAGCTCAAAGATTAGCTTAAAATACAAGCGAAGCTGCTCTAGCAAACCTGGGAGAATGACAAAGAAAGTCATTCTATGACCACATGATTTTGTTGGTGGGGAAATAAGAGGAACTAAATCCAAAACAATATAAGCAGACAGCGTTAATAGAGACAGAGGCTGCTCTTCTGTAGCAAACGATCCACTTCAACGTCTATCTCTAGGGAAATCCAAGGGAAGATTCTGATTTTCTATTCATAAAGATGATGATGTATTGGTAGAGTTGAGCTATTTGTATGTATTCCTACTTGTTTTTTTTTTTTTAATTTTATTTATTTATTTATTTATTTGTGTGTGTGTGTGTGTGTGTGTGTGTGGCCAGCTCAGCCCACCAGGGGGCGGGGCTGGCTGGCATATGGTGCTGGGGATTGAACTGTGGTCCCAGTGCTTTGCTAAGCTTGTTCTAAGTAGGTGCTTTAGACCACTGAGCCATCTCACCAGCCCCCTGTTTTGTTTTGTTTAAGAAAAATTCAGAATGATTGTGCTTAGTCCATCTAGACTGTTATAATAATACTGCTTGGGAATGTCAAACTGCATGTAATGTCACAACTTGGGTCACACTTTTTGTGATACGTGTGAAATGGGTTTCTACTCATAGTCTGCTAGATGAGAAGCCCCCACCTATAATATCCTCAAACTCAAAAGCTGTGCTCAGGGGATAGCTGTGTTAGCTGAGAACTGCTTGGGGCTCTGCCTGAAGCAGAGACTCTAACCTGGGAGGAAGACTTACCAGGAGCTCGTCTTTGCTGGAGCTGTGATATTTATTTATTTATTTATTTACGGAACCGGAGATTGAACTCAGGCCCTTGCGCTTGCCAGGGAAGCGCTTATTCTACTGAGCTATCTCCCTGCGCCCGGGAGCTGTGACATTGGTAAATGATTTTTAAAGCACAAGAGAATGATGAATTCTGAGAAGAGGAGAGGTGGAGGGCATGAAATGTTTGTGCCAGTCTCTGTAGGCTTGTGGGTGTTGTAGACTAGCCGTCCTTGGATGCTGGATTCCAAGTCATTCAGAGGGCTTTCTCAGAGGGGCTGCGACCATAAGGGTAGGGAAGTGGACCTGTACCGGTGACACCAGAAATAGGTTTCTGCTTCATGTGGGCGGTCTTACAGCTGTGGTACTTCTATGCAGGGAGTGTTAGGCATTTGTCATGGCTTGTGTCTAGGTGTCCCCCAATGCCCCAGGTATCCATGGGGCAGCTTCTAGAGTTTGGGATTAATTCATGATCTAGTGCTGGGATTCTGGGTGTAAGTGCTGGAGCA